TTTTGAAATCCAAATAATTCACTTAAATTGTATATAATGGCAAACAAGCTCAAATGTATGCAAACATAATAATTTCAGTTCCATTATTTCCAATAAATTTATGATTTTATAATCAATTCTATGAGAACACCTAAATTCAAAAATACATCAATAAAATACATCAATTCTAGAGTCACGGAAATTGAACCTAACAAATTAAAAAAAAATATATTTTAACAAACTAATCAATGTACCATATATGGATCAAACAGACCATGATTTACTTTTTTTTATATAACATCCAAATGATTGTTATCTCGGTAGAAAATAAATGGGAAAAGCGTGATTATAAAGAACAGAAATTATCGTTTACAGTTCGCCGTTGAGAGATACGTGCTCTTACGTTAAATATTTTACTTAAAAATGTGCTGACGCACGGAGGCTGCTGCCTGTTTCTCTTGGGAACGGTCTTCCCCTTTCTCCGAAGATCGAAAATTCCGCTCGATCGTTTTCGAGTTATCGGCGAGACCCTTTTTCCCAGCTGCAGCCCCGAGGTATCGGCGCGCGTGCTTCGTTCATGAAACGCGAAAGATGCGAAATTGGAGCACCGATGTACGAAATGTGGGACAAAAGTGGCCGAGGTGAACGGCACTAGCACGTAGGAAACGTTCGCGCATCTGCGCAGATGTTCTACAGATTTGTCAGGCTCGATAATTTGCCACTAATATGGGAACGCTCTGTTCGACGCGGAACTCGACTTGTCAAAACTTTCAGTCGGTTCCCACCTCGTACACGCCTGCACAATGCGTGTTTCTCGCACATTATACCTCCACAAATCCCTAAAAACCAAATTAAATTCTTACTATTATAATACACTAGGTTGCAGATGAAATTTCAGCCACTGGATAATTCAATAACAGCAACAAATGAGCTTAAAAACATCTTTCCTCCAGTTAACAAACATCACCAAGCTTGGTTCTTAGAGGAAAAAGCTTCTAAAAGCGAATTTTTACGCTGTTTCTGAAAAATTTGCCTTGGATTCGATGATTTGGACTTCGAAACAGTTAACGAAAGGTCTAAACTGCTGAGTTCGATACTAGGCTTGCACCAAGCTTGGTCCTTGGAGGTAAAAGCTTCCGAAAGCGAATTTCTACGCTGTTTTTGAAATATTTTGCCTTAGATTCGGTGATTTAGACTTCGAAACAGTTAACGAAAGGTCTAAACTGCTGAGTTCGATACTTTGAGGCTTGCACCAAGCTTGGTCCTTGGAGGAAAAAGCTTCTGGAAGCGTATTTCTGTGCTGTTTCTCAAATATTTTGCCTCGAATTCGATAATCTGGACTTGGAAACAGTTAACAAAAGTTCTAAACTGCAATTCTATAGTAATAAGTTTTATTATATAATAATATTTAATAAGTAATATACTATAGTTAATAAGTATCCTTCGATACTTTGAGGCTTGCACCAAGCTTGGTGCTAGGAGGAAAAAGCTTCTGAAAGCGAATTTCTGTGCTGTTTCTCAAATATTTTGCCTCGAATTCGATAATCTGGACTTCGAAACAGTTAATGAAAGGCCTAAACTGCTGAATTTTCCAAACTTTGAGGCTTGCACCCAATCATTTCCAAGTATCAAGTTGATAGAAATATTGAAAGAATTGATCCACTCGAAAGGGGCTGATAAAAAGAGACATTTATGTTTCTAACAGATCTCTGGACTCTTACGTACTCGTTCCACCGAAATATCAAATCTTGTATATCCTTTGAAATATTTTTAAATATGATACATGTCAAAGTTGTCCACGTTTTTTCACGTTAACAATTTTCTTTTACGCTCCTCTTAGCTTAGGAAAACACCGGACTACGACGTATTTGAGTCTCGAAAAAGGAAATCGGCGGGTGAAACGGGGGTGGATGTTACCCTAAAAAGTGTCTGATGTCGCGTGGAATGACCCTAAAAGGAAATTCAGCCCCGGGGCATTGTAAAAGATACCCGGGAGAAACCTGAGAAGAAAAAAGGCAATGTCGTGCGTTCCGAAAGGATACGCGACGACCGGACCGGTCTGCAAATAGAGTGCAACGAGGGTGCAACGTGCACGAACACCTTTCAGGGTCGCTCATATTATTTGCAGAGCCGTCCAAGCCAGAGAAGATTGTTCGAATCGATCGCAAAGTCGATTTCTGCAAACGAGAAAAGATGACGAATCGCGGAAAGGAATGGAATCATCCGTAACAGCGTTTCTCAAGCTCAGAAGGGTAGATTTATATTTAAAAAACACGAGGAAACCTGTAGTCTACCTTTTACCCCATATTTTTGGTTGACGCTGTGGACATTTTAACGAAACAGAGAAACGGTCCAATAGTCTGTGTTGTTTTTACGCTCACGCAAGATTTCTCTATTGTTTAAGGTACTTTGCTAAGAAACTTTGCGCAATGAATGAAGAAAGTGATCCTCAGAACTTGAAGTTAGATTCAAAGTTTCCGCTTACAACCAGCCCGTCCTATGGCAAGAAAGCGAGCTCGTGTGATTAATAGTGTTACTTCATAAGGCTCGGAGCGGGTTATTAGGTCGCTGCATTCAAATGGAAATTACATACCTAAATGATATAATATTAAACGCAAATATTATCGAAAAGACAAAATGATATCTAAATTTTATCTACTTCTCCAGATAAAACCAATATTTTTCCATAAAGCTCTCCTAAAGTTGGTAAGTCGATAAACTCCACAGAAACAACAAGAATTTCTAAACTTTTTTATAACAGAAAGAAACCTTATACCGTCAATATTTAATCGAGATATCCTTTTTACATGTATAAATTTACTAAAATTATATTTTTCTGAAAGGTTCGAACGATCTTTCGACAGGTACGATTAAAAGTTTAAAAATGTTGAGAAATAGAAGTTTAAATCTCGTTTGAAATTTCCGGGGGGATTGAAAATTGAACTCGAAAAACTGTGTCAGATTTCGCGTGGAACGACCCTGTAAGCCGCTTATTTTTTAAGAGTGATCGAGGCTTGGTGATCCGTAAAGTTAATGATTGGATCAAGCGACCAAAGGGAATCTCGATGGTGAATACGAACTCAAATTTGAGCGACTCGCCTCGATTCTTTCCTTCAAATCAGCGTTTTTCAACGTGGTCGATGGAATTTATGTCAAAGCTACGGTCCTGCACAGTATATACGAACAAATTTGTTTCTTTGGTGGATGTTTTAACTGGGCTGTCGTTAGTTGACCTTCCCCCGGGGTGTTCATTATTATTTTTCCTCTGTGCACGTTGTCCCGTCTACGTGGAAACATATTTCCTCATTATTCTGTGAATATCTATTTTATTTTCATATATTTCTGATTCATTCGTTCGACGAGGACAATATTCTGTTGAAATTAACCAAAACATAGCGGAGTTAGCTTTCGTTTTATTAAATTTACCCTGGACCACTTTCTCGTTTCTTATTCTTTCTCGTTGGCAAGATATTTATACACTATTTACACGCTCAAGACGTTTGTGCTAAAATACCGATGGGTCTTCATCTTTATATGACTTTCGTAATTCGTTTTCTACCCTGTGCAAGATACATATCTGGAGAGAATTCGTACGAAAAGATCAGAAACGTACGATAAAAAACCCTCCTACGCATATTTCTCGAATTTGCTTTTGCTCGGGTAGATCAATAAGAAAGGAATAGATACCTCTCCCAAGGATTATATAGGATGACACCGAAATAGGTGGTCCAAGTTTGATAGCGTATTCTACTCCTTCCGAGGACGAGAAAGGTCATATAAATGTAGCTTCGGAAACTCCTCCATTTCGAGATATAAATACGTTTTGTGCCAAATTTTTTACACGCGGTATCTTTTCTGTTGGAAATAAATAATGTCCTGGAACCTATCGCTATCCAAAACAAAATTGAAAACACTCCAAGAAGTTTCGCGTGGAGGGGGAAGGGTATTTTTTAGCAATTTTTTGCAATTTCTACGAACACGTTTCAAGCACCCCTAAAACATTGCACCGTAAAAAAAAGCGTGTTTATATCTTCAAAAAGAAGAGTTTCTGGACCCATATTTACACGACCCCTCTTCATCCCTGCAAGTTTTAACACGCCTATTTTTATATCGCCCGATACTCGCGTTCAAATCGTTCGAACCTAATTCTCCAAGGAAACGTGAAAAGAGATTTTCCAAAGGTTTGCGATAGAATCTTTAATCAAATGGCCGTTCCATTCACAACTTTGAGGGTGGTTTTCGCCCCCCTGAGCACTAATACCGCTCTACGTGAGAGAAATACGAGTTATAATATTTTTAAATGATCCACCCGGGTGGAAAGTTTCATAAAAGTCATCTGGCTACTATCAGGGCCACTGTTCCTCGCTAGTGGGACCATCTATTTCGGTGTCACCCTCTATATTTACACTGATCAATGATTTTCGCTTGATTAAATGTTATTTCTTTGACGAGTTTCGCGACGAACTCTGTGTTTGCACACGTGAGGATTATTATCCGTTTTACGTGGGGGGTGGTGGTCTCGTCCATGTAGACGTCGGAGGTTAGTCGCGATTGTTGAAAACTGCCGTTAAGGGGCCTACTTTTTCCCGATTTATCCAAGCACTCTTTGTGCCGTTAACGACCACGATCAACTGTTTTCTTTCCTCTGTTCTCGATAAGGTTCGTCGATTTCCAGAACCGCGTGACCGTTCCTCCGAGCCCTCGAGCTCCCCTTCCGGTTGATCTCGTGTCGTTGCCAGTGACACGTAGCATCGCGGGAGAATAAGGAAAACTCACAATAAGGGTGAATAGAAAAGGAACGGACGGAAATGCAAGCTAACGAGAGTAGGGGATGGAGTCGTAAAAGAGACCACGGAGCGAGAGGGTGAACACGACAGACGGAGAGGCGGTGAAACGACGAGGGAGGGAGGTTACGGGGTCGTCTGCGACGGTGCTGCTGGTTCGGTGGTTTCACCCCCTCGACGGAAAAGCGCAAGCGCCAGTGTCCTTTCTCGATGCTCGTACTCCACGCCAGTAATCCGTGGAATGCGAAGGCAAAAGGTGCGCTTTTTTCGACGGAACGCAGGTATCTAAAAAAAACGTCTAAACACCATTTTCCTCGTCACGATGTCGCGAGCCGCGTACAACCCGGTCGAGCAAACCTGCCCTTATTTCCCATCGGCCCGTACGCAGACAGCGGCCCTCCCGTGGGTCGATGTCCTCGCTTCATCCAACGGTAACCCCCTTTTTCGCGTTATTCCGTTCCTTCGATTCCTCCTCGGCCGTGTTTACCAACCGCTTTGCTCCACATAATTCCACCATCCGCGCGGCGCACACACGGGCACACACGCCGTACCCTTCGATCGTGACAAGTGGCGAAAACGCTGTTTCTCGCGTGCTCTTTTCATAAGTTTCTCTCGGTATGCGCCGAGTGCTCGCATCTCGCCGAGAGGTCACGGTTCGCCCAACGAGGGTCTCTTAACCAGTGTCCTCGAATGGAACCGCGATCGGTGAAATCGAACTACGGACTGCGACATCGTGCACCTGGGATCGTCGATTTTTCTTTTCTTTTTTTACGCGGTCATCATCAAGTAAGTTGTTTTGAACTCGGTGCAACGTAATTATCGAGTGTAACGGGGGACAATGTGGTCGGGAGATCTCGTGTCGACGAATGTTTGGTATCTTCCTCGAGCTTGGACGACTCAAAATTGGGGCGTTTTTCCTTTTTCTTTTCAAACCGTTCCAAGGCAGACGGCGTGGCCGGAGAGTTGGTCGACCGCTGTCGGTGTTTTGATCGAAGCCGAAAATTGGAACGTTTTGCGACACGATTAACAACACACACACTCGACCGTACCACTGTCAATGTTTTGCTTCGATCGATATACGTAATTTAACATCTGCGACACGGCACCAATCAGGGATTCTCGCACGTAACGAAGTCATCGGTGATCTCGATAAAAGTTCGTGCCTTCTGTAACGCGGTACAATTAGATTTAGGGATCCTCGTAGCTCGCGATCTCGTGCAAGAAAAAAGTTAATCAACTGCACCGTCCTCGGTGCTCGCACCAATAATAGCTCAAAGTCGATCCGAACAATGGTGGTAGTAATTACATAGCACTAAAAGTTGCACAACGTTCGCGATGGTTGTTTTAAATTGGTCGGAAAATTCTGCAATTAGAAACGAGGGGGGATTCCTACGCTGTAACGATCCGATAAATTAGTCGACTGACCCGCTGGCGATATACCCGTTCGAACCTGTACAGCTAGAATAACATTGGAACAGTCTGTAACGTTTAACGATTGCAATCAGGAATTCTCTACGCTGTAACGAAGGCAACGTTGTGACGATCTCGTGTCAATAAAGGTTGGCCTCACCCGGTCGATGCTTTCCTCGAACCTGATATAGCTGATCCAAAATTGGGGCGTTTGGTAACACGGTACGATTTGAATCAGAGATTCCCGACTCTAATGAAGTCAACACGATCGCGATTTCTATCTAATAAAAGTTGCCCGATGTTCTGTTTATACATAGTTAGACGATGCAGTCCGTAACGTGTCGCGATTGGGATCAGGGACATTCGACTGTAACTATGACAGTGATCTAATAAAATTTCGCACGAACCTGTGTAGGTCGTTAGTTTGATGTACCCTGCAACTTGGTACGATTGAAATCAGGGATCCTCGAGTGTGACGGAGATAATGTCGTCGTAATCCCCTGTTAATGGTAGTTGGCAACCGAGGTCGATGTTTCGGTTCAAAAATGGGTCGTTTTGCAACAGGATACGATTGAAATTAAGGACATCCGGCTACTTGTATTAAAAAAATTTAATCAGACCTATAATGGTCCGAAGTTGGTGTCGTTTGGAGCACGGTGCTGTTCGAATTAGGTTTCCCTTGCTGTAACGGAGACGGCAGAAGTTAGTTATCGTAACAAACATCTTGGCACGGATGAACTGTTAATGTTCTTAACGAATTTGCTTTGCTTGGCAAGAGACGGTGTAGACTATAACAGGTTGAATCAGACACTCTCAACACAACTTGGTAGCAATCTCGTGTCAATAAATGTTGGCTAACTGCTGTTTGATCCGAGGCTTGTTTAATTGATCTTACATCAGAGCTGCTTGTAACTTGACACAGTTTGAGCCAGGTTCCCCCGATTGTAAATAAAGCAATATGGCAGGGATCTTCTGTTAATGAAACCTGGCCAATCGCCGGTTAATGCTTTGCTCAAACGTCATGTAGATAATCCAAAATTGGGGCGTTCCGTAATACGATATGATTGGAATCGGGGATCCTCGAGTGTAACGAAGGCAGCGTGGCGAGAATCTCGTGTCAATAAAGGTTAGCCATCCGCGGTCGATCATTTGCTCGAACCTATCACAGAGCTAATCCAAAATTGGGACGTTCCGTCATATGGCAAGATTGATACCACAAATATTCGAACGTATAGACAACTGGTCGTGATCTGATTCTAATTACCAACAAGTTTGATTTAAAACAGCCTGTAGAATGCTCCAAGTGTAACAAAGATAATAAAAAACCCGTATCTAATGAGTAGACTGCGGATCTTTATGCAAATTCACATTTTTATTAATAGAATTAATGAAACGAAAGCTTCGCAGAGGGCTGTCTCAGCCCCTAAATATAATAATTCGTATCTTACTTTAAGTATTTCCCATATTTTTGCATATTAAATGCATTCTATAGTTTTTTGAGGATTAAAATTTCCCATAAATGCATAAACATCCGCAGTCTACTAATGAGTATCGATTATCCGATTTGTCAGCATTCCGCTTGCATTAGTGTGAAATTAGTGCAGCCTTGTACGATGGTGCAAATGGACTCAAGTATTCCCAACTGTAATGTAGACAACGTAGTCGAAATCTCGTTTCTAACGAATATCGGTCATCCAATTTGTCAGAATTCCATTTGAATTAGTGTAAAATTAGTGTAGCCTGTGGAATGGTGTAAATGGACTCAAGTATTCCCAACTGTAATGTAGACAACGTAGTAGAAATCTCGTTTCTACCGAATATCGGCCATTCGATTTGTCAGAATTCCATTTGAATTAATGTGCAATTAGTGCAGCCTTGTGGATCGGTGTAAATGCAATCAGATGTTTCCAACTGTAATGTAGACCACATAGTCGAAATCTTGTTTCTGATATTGGTCATTCCACTTGAATTAGTGTAAAATTAGTGCAGCCTTGTAGATCGGTGTAATGAGATGTTTCCAAATGCAATGCAGACGACATAGTCGAAGTCTCGTCCCCAACGAATATCGGCCATTCGATTTATCAGAATTCCACTTGAATTGGTGTAAACTTAGTGCAGCCTTGCGGAATGGTATAAATTTAATCAGATGTTTCCAACTGTAATGCAGACGACGTAATCGAAATCTCGTTTCTAACGAATATCGGTCATCCGATTTGTCGGTATTCCGTTTGAACCAGTTAGCGTAGAATTAGTGCAGCCTGTACCATGGTACGGTTTCGAATCAGGGATTCCCCACTGCAACGAAAACAGCGTGGCAGCGATCTCGTGTCAATAAAGTTGGTTAATTGCAGTCGATGTTTTGCTCAAGCCTGGTACAGCCAGTCTAACATCGGCGCGCAACATGGTACGATTGGGATCAGTGGATCTCCCTAACGGAGATTTCGGTATCAATAAGTGTTTCTATCAATGTTTCGTTCCTTCCTGGTAAAGCGTGCGACGATCAGAATCGACTCTCGACCGTAACAGAGACAAGGTTGCGGTTATCTCGTGTTAGCAAAAGTTGGCCAGGAACAGCTGTCGTCGTTTCTTGGCTCGGATCTGCTGAAACGCAGTCGAAAATCAGGACATCCCGTTAACGTTGCAACGTCCTCGTCCTTTCCTCCCGCTCCGCCTCGATGTCACGGTGCTTTATTTTTCTTTTTCGGTCCTGTAATCCTCTTAGCCGGTTCTCGGAACGAGAGGACGTGGTGCTCGGTTTTGCCTTCGCGCGGATTTCGCTCTTTGGAAACGGGCTCACGGAGGAAGGAGGCCCCCGTTGCCTCACGTCCGGTGTCGTCGTTCGGTAACGAGCATTAAATTATCGATCGTCCCGCGATATACATCCAACGGGAGGATATTTCCACGGGCGCCCCGGCGTTCGATCGTCCGCCAAAGCTGGCACGCGAAACTTTCTTTTCGCGCCTCTTTCCCGTGCACCCTTTTACCGACGTTGCATTCACCGTGATCACGTGCCAGGCGCCGCGTGCTCGCGTGCACGTTCCATCGTCCGCTGCGAACCCCCTCGTCGAAGGTCCGTTTTCACGTGACGCGACCGACTCTAAATGCCGTGACATAATACACGATTTTACGATAACGACACACCGTTACGCGTTACGGCATTCGTTTGATGCCTCGCGGGAAGAGATCCAGCCTAAATTTACTACCAAACAGCCCCCAAACTCGCAACTCCGGCAGACCCTCGTGTATCTTTAGCAGTCGATTTTAGAACTTCATTTATTTAAATCGTACATTTCATTTTGAGTAAATTTTTCAAGGAATTTTTTAAAAATTATTATACGGTACTCGATTTTTTCAGGTTAGTCTCGTTTGGGAAAATTTTTTTTAAATTACTATAATTTGTAAATTTGTCGTCTTGGTTATATTTTCTTCGCTGTACGTTAATGTTGAAAGTTTGGAAGCTGTTTGAGTATTGTAAAATTTCGACATTTCACATAGTTTAATTGGAATATATAATTTCTCACCAAAATGACCGCCCTGTTTTAAATAATCATATCTCAATATCTAACCATTTCACCAGCTTCTAAAAGACTCCTGTACATACATTTGCTTCGATTTAAGTAGATTCTTGTAGAAATGAATATTAACAAATTCTCAATTATTTTGTTCTGAAATCAAATTACTGTTATCGATCCTTAAGAATTTACAGTCTACTTTTACACGAAATGGAGTAAATCGTTTTCTTTTCTTGTTGCAAATAAGGAGCAAAAATGGTATCGAAAATTGTCTAAAAAACACCTGTGACCTTCGAGAGAGTGCAACGAATTTTACGTGGTTTGTAGAAGCAGCACCCACGCTCGAGAATCGAATAGTCCTGACAGTCTTCGATTGGAAGACGAAAACGAGGATGAAGACGACGCGTTCGGGGATCGAGACCGCCGGGATCAGAGTGCCACGCGATTGCGTAGCCGCGTGGATCGATTAGGCAATCGTTGGCAGTCGACAAAGAGATCCAGATGCCAGTTATCGCGTCGCATTTTTTCGAAGACGGTTAAGGGGAAGTGCGTGTTGGATGTTCGTTAAAACGTTGCACCGGGTCCGGGTCCGAGTCTCCGTCCGAGCTCGAAGCTCGCGTCGAGCCACGGTGCCGGAAGTGCCGTTTCTCGAGGACAAAGGGCGACGGGGTGACCACGGAAGAAGAAACGCACGAACGAGATCGCAAGCAAGGGAAAGCGTGACGAGCCCTTGCGGGCCCGAAGGGAGGCGAAACGAGGTAAGGCGAGTGAGGGCAACCACGAGGATTAAATAAAAGAGCCTCGTGACGGAGGGGCTTCGTACGGCCCTGGCGCGACTGCGGCACTGCACCCCCACGGGGGGTTCTCTGCCAAACACACCGAATCCGCCCTCCACCCCGGAACACAAGAACCACGTGAGTACCAGTGACCCGTAAAATGATAGCGACGTACAGACCTAACGACTCATCGTACGATCAAGGGTGTGTAGAAGTCTGCAAGGCCAGAGAAAAATATTTCTTTCAGGGCGCCCACGAAACGTTCATTTGTACGATCCGAAAGAATATTTGACGAACATACGTTTTTCTTTGCACCCCAAATTAACCCTTTATTACGATGAAAGTAGAAATTTTCGAGAAAGTTGTTCGAGACTTTAGCTATCGATCGACCCCCGAATTTATGGAACGGTCAAAAATATTAAAAAAATTTTAATGATTATGAAAGTTACCCAATTTTCAGACCTCTACACCCCCTCAAGGCAGAGCTCTGATTTGTTGGGGTGGTTAAAACGAATTACTATAAAAAACTTAAATTTGACCCAATGGAATTTAAAAAGGTATCGAGATCGCTCTGTAATAGCAGACTAATTGAAAATGTATTTCTTTAAGTTTTTATCCGCCATAATTTTTCAAGAAAAATGTTCGAGCATCGTGATGAAATTTTAAGATCAAGGTAAAAAATATGCCTTTCATGAAACAGTCGATTTTCCATCCATGCAAACCAGAACTCCGGCTTAAGTTGCACAACTAGGGTTGATAAAGCCGTTCGTACGATAATTGTAAAGTGCGTGGGTGGGTTGTGTATAGCCTTTCGTACGGCGCGGTCGTGTTCGATGAAAAGTTCGATGAACGAAGGTTCAGCGACTGGAAAACTATCAAGCTTGTATTATCTTCAGAAATAAATCTTTTGCAAAACCATTTACCTACAGAAGAAAGAAATGATTTAAAATATATATTCGAACAAAATGAAGAAATTCTACTGCAAGGTGGCCGCCAGAAAAATGCCTTTGCTTAGAGGTCCCGGGAGGTGGCGTAGTTTGAGAAACACTGATCTAGTGAATAAAGTCCTCCACTCTGAAACATTGAATTTCATGCCAAAGCTCTTGCAGTACGCGAGACGAATACCTTCTGTTCTTTACTGTTTTTCACTCCATCCAATTCTCTGGTTCCTTCTCATATTCTACACCTCACTATTTCAATCTTTTACCTCCTCGTATTCACTCGCCTCCGCTCTCCTTCCCAGTAAATACTCGGCTAAAAGTTTCATCCTTAATCATCCCCTTTTATTTTAACCTAACTCTCCTTACACGTATCTGTCCATGAATCTTTAATATCCATAACTTTCGTGCTCCACCTATTCCACAAACTTTTCTCTCCTCTTCTTCTCAAGTTCATACCTTCTTTATTATTATAATTATTTTTCTCTTAGAAATAAAAACGCTATTATTATTACGTATTTTTGAAAACCAAGGCGTTTCAGCGGAAGTTGATTGTTTTTAGTGGAATTGAATAATGATATTTAATCAGGAATTACAATGTTTTGTTACGAAGCAGTAAAAGAAAAAGTTTCCAAGTACATAAATACCGACAGGGGTAAAAAGGAGGGTTCTGGGGGTTCTTTAAACGGAAGGTGGTATAAATTTCTTGTTATTTGAATAGCTCTGGCCAAACTGAGTAACATTTACTTCGACTACCCTCTTGAACATTTGATACCATTAGGGGAGAAATCGATGCACAAACAGCTCACGGGGGAGACTAACAAATACTGAAACTGTTTGTTCATATCTCTGGAAAATGTAAACAAGGGTAACATTGTTGACAAAATGTGCCAAGATATCACTGCCAAGCGTAGACAGGATCGCGCGTACGCAAAATCGATTTTAATGTTTCGCGATAATTCGTTGCCTCTACATAATTATACTGTCAAAATCTTCCAAGTACTTTGTCGAGTTCGTTGATTTTTCAACGCCAAATACTTTTAAATAGACCCAATATTAAGGATCCGAATTTAGACCCGCGAACAAGCGGGTCAAGCAATAGATTTTACACGACCTATCCATTTGTTAGAAAGTTGCTCGTTCAAGAAGTGTCTGTCCATTCGGTTGAAATGTGCCGATGCACCGTCATGCATAAACTACATGCAACGTATATCTTATAGAACTTCTTCCAATAATTCATACACTCGACTGCTCAAGACACCGGCTAAAGATTGACTTGTCAATCATCCGTGGACGAAGATAAAGAGTTATCGAGTATAATGTACAAACAGTGTAGTAAAGTCATAGAATTTGTGATGAAACTAAATAAAATAGAACGTGTGTTTATATAAACTTTCATCATTGTTTTTGTGGTCCCAAAAAGTGAAGGAAGAATCCACCCTCTGGAATCTCTAAATCATAAACATTTATTGTGTGTGGGGCTTCTGTAATTAACAGTGAGAATTAAATTATTATATTATTCTTGCCCATTGGATATACAAAGTTGTTCTAATAAAAATATTATTGTCTAATTCCACTGAAGAGAAAGCTCTGGTTTTAACAAAGATATGATAATACGGACTAACTTCAAATTTCTTTTGATGAGTAAAGATATACATACAGGATGTCACACGCAACTGGAACTATAGCTTCTAAACGGTTGGGAATAAAAAAATATTTTATAAGTCAAAGTTAAATAGTATCAGACTTCATTTTTAAAATGGAAACCTACGTTTTTGACTGCACCAGTCGATGCAGTTTCTTATGCTCTACATAAAAGTATTAACATACTTGTGCCCTAAACTTATTCGTTAGGAAGTTATCGAAGATAAGAATTCTCTAAATTATTGCGATTTCTCAGCACGCGTTCCGGAGTACTTAGGTTACAACAAGTGTTCGAACGGTCCTCCATTGCAGTCCAAGCATCTCTCCATCCGTTTCTTGACATTGCTCAATGCATTCCTGATGTCTCTTTCCGTAATTTTGGATATTTCTTGCTGAATGCGTCGTTGGAGCTCTTCGAGATCAGTAATGGGGTGCAAATACACCCTATCTTTTAGAGATCCCCATAAAAAAGAAGTCGAGGGGTGAGAGATCTGGTGATCACGCTGGCCATAAGATCGACCCTTGTGTACTGATCCATTTCGCTCCATAAGTTTTATTTAAATGCCTGGCAACTATCTGTGAATTGTGTGCTGGAGCACCATCTTGTTAAAAGTACCTTGTTTGTCGTACACTTGGAGGAATCTCTGTATCGTGAAAGAGAACTGGTAGGTCAGATTCCAGAAAGACACGACTAGTAAATAGTTACTGATGGAAATCTTAATCTTACAGTGACTAATATTAGCAGCCACGAAACATTGTAAAGCAACAGAAACATTGTAATAGATTTGGAGAACTTTTATCCTCGATAACTTCCTAACGAATAAGTTTAGGGCATAAGTATGTTAGTACATTTATGTAGAGCATAAGAAACTACATCGACTGGTGCAGTAAAAAATGTAGGTTTTCATTTAAAAAAAAAGGTGCAGTTGCATTTTTCTGACGCACCAGTGCACAAAAGATGAGACTCATCGTCTGATACCATTTAACTTTGACTTATAACATATTTTTCTATTCCCAACCGTTTAGGAGATATAGCCTGTTTCAATTGCGTAGGACACCCTGTGAAAATTATTATCAATTATCATTGCATCTCGTTGTGTCGACTTGTCGTACGGTAAATCGTTACGTTTATGGTTCCTAGGAAGATACGTTGACGTGTACCGAACGATGGCGAACAGAGCTTACACATTTTGGCGCATAGGGCAACAATGCAAAGCACCCAAAGAATCTATCATCCGAATTTGAATCGTTTCAAGGGATTTCGTAAACGTTGGATGAGAAATCCTAAGATGTGAAATGTGGTGACCTCAGAAACCACACCCACAGATCTACCTGATCATCAAAATTTATGATTCCACGTATCGATCGAATTGTTTCTTCACTGTCGCGGGGGGTGTGCAGCCCGAGTTCGGGTATCTATAACTTCGGGGAACAAACACAGACATATTGCAACGGTCCACTTTAGGAGAAACAGAATAACGACATTTCCAGAATCCGAAGGGGACAACTTTGTGACACGGTTCTACCTGGTCATCAAAATTAATGCCACTCGAAGTACAGTTGCGGACAAAATTAATCGAGCAGATAGAGGAAATAGGTATGAATTAAATCAAAGTAGTATAACTTAAGTTTTATATATTATATATCTTTATGGTGCCTAAATTTTTCGACGAAAATAAAAAATTTCAAATCGTTTTAAAAAAATTATTTTCAGTTGCGGGGGTCCATTACAATAATTCTTGGTGAATACATATATCTCTGAAATCCTACTCACTTTCGAGAAAAAAATTCTTTACCGAAAATATACTGGGTGACCGGAAATGTTTCTATAACTTATTAACGAAGCCTCAAACAAGAAATTGATATTCTTGATTTTCGTATTATTTTGGCTTCTAGCATCTCCCATTAAATGTATATACTATTCTGGTTAAAAATTTATACTTATTTCCTTTATCTGTCCACAACTCTATTGAATTGCTTGACAATGTCTAACGCCAAACGAACGTAAACATATTCCAAGGAGTGTTTCCAAAAGTGGAACCAACTTTGTGACACGATGAGAGGTGAGAACCGTGACACTAGGGAAGGGTTTACGGGTGGATCGGCGATGTTTGACCGTTCGGTGTCGTTCTTTCGCCGTCGTTCGCGATATGTTGACGGAGTTTTACGCGGGGAATGATCGTTGTTTGGCGTCCGGTGTTTTGCGAAGCAGGGATGTTTGGATGGTCGCGGCTCGAGCCGTAGAAACGGCGGCAGCTCGCGGGGGAATGGGACCGATTCGGCGGCGGCGGCCGAGCCGCAGTCGCAGCCACAGTCGCAGTCGCAGCCACAGGCATCGCGCGGAGCCAGCTCGGCACATCGCCACAATGGAACGGAGAATTCACGCGAAACCGATTTGCTGTCGCACGCGGCCTCGGCGCTGCGAAGGCTGCACTTCAAATCGGCCGGCGGCAGTCGGAGCTGTCGCACCGTGCCGAAGGTCGTGGTCATGGGCTCGAGCACCGCCTCCGAAACCACGATCAACACTAGCACCGACAGCGCCAACACGATGCTCACAATGGTAAGGTGGTCGGTGGTGGACGGGGCCCACGCAACCCTTTGCGGTCCGCGCGGTTTCCACCATTTCGTTCCCGATCAAAATAAGCCCAAACACGATCGTCTTCGAACTATTTTCAATTGTATCGAATTTTCGATCATATTTTAGTAACTGGAGCAAAGTATGATTGAAGGCAGTCCGGACAAGATCGCGTTTCGACTTATTTTCGTCTGAACAAACGTTTGTCATCGATTCGGGGAACAAAATCTTCTACATGAAATCTGGGATTTCGCTAACGAAGCACAGCAATTCTAGCTTCCACGTTTATTTGGTATTGATCGTTGCGACGCGTAGGAGGCAGGAGAGACACGATTTCGCATTTTCGAAAGTTTATCATTGTTTTATCAAACCTAAATAATCTGCACTCTGCGCAAACAATAGGAACGTTCCTCGGTTCGGCGTTAAACGAAAATCCACTCAGCGCGCCGGGCCACGTTCCGATTTCGCCGAGAACCCGGTTAAACAGTGAATGGAACACATCAAACATAGTCAAGCATACATCTATATCCATTGTTGCCGTTTAAATACACTTAGCGGTGTACGTCACTTAGCACTGCGCCTCCGAATGACCCTAATTCAACCAACTCTTGGGACATTAGTTTAGAGCAAGAGCAGCGGGTACACAAATCGTGAATGAAATTACCGTTCGCTATCCGTGTCGCAACAATTGTCTACAATAACGAAACAGATTATAATTACAGGTTCTGTCATCTTGGCTGTATAAACTTATTGGTCGCCAGGGATTTAACTTATAACCGAACAAGTTTAATAAGATCCTCGAGGTGGTGGCTTGGGCGTGGAGAAGCGAATGGTAGGGATTAGACTAGGCGATTAGTCTATCGCCTAGGCCAGGGGTCGGCAAACCCGTGGCTTTTGATCTCGCTTAAATTATTTAAACCGCATTTCCATTAATCCTTCGCAAAGCACATGGAAATTCCGGGTAACAGAAACATGCAACGTAGTTTTACTTGCTTGTATCATTTGCTATTTATTTCAGTGCACTCTGCAAGGTTGACTTTAATAAAAAATTATGTTTGAAGGAGTATGAACCCAGAAAGTACCTGTACGCGTGTGTTCGAATGCGTGAAAGCAATCATGATAATATTCTATTACTAACGCGCAAACAATTAATCACAAATTGTATCTAGTTTTTCGCGTGCAAGTTAAATCTCCTATGACCAATATGTTTGCTCAATCCAGATGATAGTATTATCGTAGTTAATACTAAATAAACGTGGAACAGATACCTAAATTGCCACGAAACAATCAATGCATTATGTACATTGCATCGAAGGCTAAAACGCTCTATTTATTCGCCGATTCCCGCTTTCAAGTGAGAATTTCGGGACCGTTACTCGTGCATTTCTACGTGACACTGCCGTTGTTTGCCTCCCGCATAGTTATCTGATCAATCTAACGACACACTCATTCACTATTAATATATTCACATTTGCTCAGTGTATTTTGAGAATGTTGAAGAGTGTTGGTCCGACGCTATATCGCTTTCTAAAGATTTCATAGCAGTGATTTCCAAACTTTGAAACACCTCTGTTCCGAAAAAGAAAAAGAAAAAGAAAAAGAGAATTTTATTCTATATCGAATATAGTTCAGCGTCGCAGAAGTACCTAGGTTAATGAAGTCTATATTAAACCTTCCGGTCTGAAGGGATCTTGAACCTGATCTGCCCTCTGGCGCACCACTATCAGAGGGTTATTGGACTCGGTAAACTAACAGAGAAAAGGGGAGAACGGGACATTTAGGAGATCCCCTTGGCTTTAGCGAGCAATGGTTATAAGGAAGTCTTTGGTTCTTCGTATCAACAAAGTCTTCTGACAACATTCAGTACTATAGGGGTTTCGATTAAAAAAGAGCCGATCGAATTATCCACATTTTTCTATGTTCCAATTCTTTTTTTGCGCCTCTGCTTTAGAAAAAACTAGGTCACCGGTGAGTCAAGGACCGAGCAAATCCTTGACACAAGTCATATATCCTCATAGACGAGCGCTGAACGATGGATGGCGATTCCCACTCACGTATTTATCGGCTGTCGGATGACATTGTTTAGAACAGAGTTTGGAAGGGTGATTGGGGACTCGACGTCGTATAAAGAATGGTCCCTCCTTTCCTAAACGACCTAGCCACAGGGAGGCAGGGATGTCTTCTGGTGAGAGGGCTGTGAGAAATGATGTAGCCATTTGCATACCACAGAGTCTCGAAGCCGAAACGCATACTCTAAATAACCAAAACTCCAACGTATTCGTATAGTTGTATTAATAGTGAACGTTTGTTAATATTCTATTCTGCCAAATAATAGAGATTCGGTTCGAAACAGACCCGGAGAATTGATATTTCAGTGTTGTTAACGAATGTGTCTTTGGGACGCTTCCATCGCTGAGCACGACGAGTTGGTAACGATTGTGGTTTGGAGGAGATTCGAGGGAAACTGATTTTAGGTGACGACAACGGACGGAGAACAGCCGGACGACAGCTTCGACTTGGTGGACATCCCGTCGGAGATGTCACCACCTGCTCCACTGTCGTCGGCTCCACCGCCCGAACCGGTTCCACCGCCGCCGCCTCCGCCGCCACCACCGCCCCCACCACCCTCCCCGCCTATCGGCGATTACTCGACCATGGACGAGAAGGGTGCCAAAACGAGCCCGTTAACGGCAACCACCGTACGAACGGAGATCACTGCCCGTCTCGATGTCCGGGCGTCGAGTACTTCGAACCTCCTCGACGAGACCGATGCTCCATCGGTCGATGCCACGATGCTCACTGCCACTGGTGCCGCCAGCGAGGTCAGGGTATCCATTTCCGGAAGAACTCCGCCTCTCCCGGATCTACGAGCAACCGACTTTTTTAGGTACGTACGCTGTTTCAGACCGGGGGCGAGAAAGAATCCTAGCTGATTGTACGGATTAAGGTCATTTCGCCTTGAAATATTTTATTTTCATACTACGTTTCCTCGTTAGGATGAGCCGATGGAAGAAAATTACCGGATATTTCGCTCGCTAGGCGGATAAAAGCCATAATTGAAGCATTAATCTCTGCCAGAGGATAACATAAATCATGTGTTGTATTCGAAATAATAATGGTTCCTTTTGAAAGTACCCCTCGTTAGTCAAGACCCAACATTTTGATAAACATTGTACCATTGGGTGATGACTTGTTGGCTAGGCATCAACAAATTGAATAGCGCAAGAGCGAGGGAAGGTATTCGCGAATTCCCATCAGAGAACCCCGCTCTTGTGTCACGCTACATACTAGTAGCACAGACGAGGTATACGAGTAGAGAACATTTATTAAACATCAAAAACGAATTTTTAAGAAAAATCGACAGGGGGTAGGTGCCTTTAGTCGACAAAATTAAAAAATTTCAAATCATTCTGGAAAAATTATTTTTAATTGCGGGGGTCAATTGCAATCATCTTTAATCAATAGACATATCCCCGAAATCGTATCCAATTTCGAGAAAAAAATTCAGGAACGTGGACAAAGTCGACAAAATTAAAAAATTTCAAACCATTCTGGAAAAATTATTTTTAGTTGCAGGGGTGAATTACAATCATCTTTGGTCAATAGACATATCCCCGAAATCGTATCCAGTTTCGAGAAAAAAATTCAGGAAGGTGGACAAAGTCGACAAAATTAAAAAATTTTAAATCATTCTGGAAAAATTATTTTTAGTTACAGGAGTCAATTACAAGCATTTCTGGTAAATAGATATACCCTAGAAATCCTACCCACTTTCTAGAAAAAAATTCAAGTAGGTGTGAAATTTTTCGACGGGAAAAAATTCAGTTATGTGGACAAAAGTTCGACAAAATTAAAAAATTTCAAACCATTCTGGAAAAATTATTTTTAGTTGCAGGGGTCAATTACAATCATTTTTGGTGAATAGACATACCCTCGAAATTCTACCCACTTTTGAGAAAAAAATTCTTTACCGAAAATATAAAGTCTGGCCAGAAATGTTTCCCCAGAATTTGGCAAAAATCATGATGTATTTTGATGAAGAATATTTAAAAATTCTAAGTATGTTGGAGAAGTTGTTCCTCAACCCTGTAAAGTGCGAAAAACTCCATAAAAATGATTCTATCCTACTCTGTCTTGATACGATTCGGTCACGTTCCTCGTCACGCGATGGAATTGCAATTGTAATCGCCTCAGTTAATTAGATATTGCTATTTTGCTCTGGCCAATCAGCCTGCCTAGCTATCATGTCATCACTCTATGGTACTGTCAAGCAAAGCAGTAGCAACTTCTCGCGAACGCGTAATACTTGTTACGGCTACTGTCCACCGCTGCTAAGTTGTCAGTCGAAAAGAATACGAATTCAATTGGTCGAAACAAGGTAAATCGGCCCATTTTCATAAGCGGAGTCTTTAGCATCGAGTAGCTTACTCCCCCGACTCTTGTGTCCTCCCGATTGCCAGCTTACCAGCGTCGAGCAATACATCCACCGTTCCTCGATTGCTATAGATCTTCGTTCCTAATAATCCTGCGTTTGCACCGTGTTCGCAGTACACCGGTGAGGGGTTCGGTGGACGCTGGCCAACCGGATCCGAACAACCCGATGCTGTTGATGGCCGGTAAAGGCCAGGACAGCAGCAGCCGGCAGAGCAACTCTTCGTCCAGCGAGGGTAAACACGGCCAGAAGAAGCCAAACGTGAACGTGACAACGAACCCGTTGGACATATCGTTGGTAGGAGCATGCGCGAGCAACGACCGATCGTCCGAAGGTCCAGGTAGGACCGGCGGCAGCAAGCTTCGGGGAAGAGCAGCCGCCGGTGAGTCGAGTCGATCGAGCTTAATGGTACATAATTAACCATTAAACTTTAGCGAGAACGCGTTGTCGCAACGGCGCGTCTCGATAGGGTTCGATTTGATCCGCGACGTTGTACGCGAATGCGCGGGCGAACGGCGTAGATGTGCGTTTCGGAATGTCGAAGGGCGTTGTTCTCGCTAAGAAAAATCAATTGTTGTTGTTGTTTTCTTTCAGAATCTCATCCCCTCGTTTCGACCATTCATTCATGGGTCAGGCTCTTTTTCCCGTTTTGCGCAATAGGTATACAGTTCGTTGTGCTCGAGTTTATGCTTCAAGACGTTTAACGAAACCGAGAGATCACCGGATGCAGCCATCCCCCCTCGACGGACGTAACTCTCGCTCACGTGCACTCGCGTCGGTTCCACGCTCGTTCCCGTGTATCCGGGGACCGATTCTTTTACGGAAGGTCGCCGGCGAGCGAGGAAGTTGCCGCAATATCGAATCTCCGTAACGACGAGGACGTTTTGACCTTATCTTTGACCAGATCTGCGTCGTCGAGAGTCGTTCTGTTCGGATTCGATGAATCCCGGGTCTCGACGATACCGGTGATCCCTCGTTTCGTAGCGATCTTGTCCGTGGACAAGACGAGGGACGCACTTGGCGATTACATATTCGTTTCCGCTCCTTGCCTATACACCTTGAATGCATTCACTCGAACGCTTGCGTGTCGAGAATATTAACGTTTTTACTTTCGACTCACCGCATCTATTCGACGTTCTCGATTTCTCGTTTATTTCTTTCGTTCCTTGCTTACATTCTTGCGACTCGCGAGTCACGTGGCTCTCTCTCCTCGATCGCGATCGTGCATCGATCCAGCTGGTGGCCGGTAAACTTTCAACGACGCCGACCCGACAGCGACATTTTGCGACCGTATCACCGTGACATTTCGGAAAAAACCTCCCTCGTGACGTTCGAGCCAAGCAGCTGGAACGGATAACGATCGATAAATCGTTATCCACGGGAAACGGGAAACCGGAAGCCGGAACCTGTTGACGAGAACCGTTCGGTTGAAATCCCTCGAGGAGAAGAGAGCCGTCAATTATCGGCCACTCGACCCTCTCTCGTTGCATCGCTCTATTATTGTCGAAAATCGACAAGTTGGTGCCCCTGTTTCAGTCCCAGACAGCGCATGTTTTCTGCCGATTTCGCCGTTAGTAAATGTAACGTAGTTGATTGCGCTTCGTTTGCCACAGCAGGTTCCGCCGAATTGCCGCCCCTTTCTTTCCAGCAAAACTTGTGTATGTTCCCGCGTCGCGAACCACTTTCTTTTCACATCCGGCGACGGCCATTTTCTTCCGTCAACCGCGATTTCTCAAACCCCACTTGTGTAACGAGCGGCGCGGAACAATATCGATCCCTTGCACCAGGGACGAGGAAAAGTCCTTTACTTTATCTCTTTGTTATTGTTTCCATTTATTTTTAACATTTTTCAAATCTGCTTTAGTTCCTGTTGTCGGTGTGTATCCATTAAGGTATTAAAACAACTATTTTGGAATATCTCACACTAGCATGACCACAGTTCAAAATTTTTATGTACTGAAATTTACCTTGCAATTTATATCTCGTTATTGGTATTTATCAATGGTCGTATCTGACACTTTGCCTTGATAAAATTGTTGCAAATTATGTTACAGTGTACCTGTTTTTCTTTTTATTTGTGTCTATGATAAAATTGAAGCAAAGTCGTTGCACCCTCGTAAGTTTGACAGAAACGTAAACAGAAGAGGATTTCGTACACCTCCGCGTATGTGCAGAGAATAGTCCAGATTCTCGGGCTATTTCTCGAAAAAATCGAGCTACACCGTCCGATCGTGTCGAACCGACGACCGATATTTTTCCAAGTCCCACCGGTGTATTGCTTTCCAGCAACAACGTTTCCGGAAAGTAAGATCGCGAAATGGACGCTTACACCAACCGAAGAACGTCTCCAGGGCCACGCACGCGTAAAACAAACACAGGCCATCGAGCTATTTTCGAGAAAATCTAGCTAGTTTTGTCCGAATCGCTTCGAAGATTAAAATCACGAACAGTGTTTGCAAATCGTTCCAATCGTGAAAATGGATGTTTAGTTTTACTAAAGGAACGTCTTCAGGACCATTCGAGTGCAAATAAAATACAAGTCGTGTTGTTCGCTAAAATCGAGACCATTTGTCTAACAATGGAAATGGCCAGAGTGTTACGCCGATATTTAAATGAGCTTTCGTACAGCGATAGTGTTGATTTAAGTCTATGGAGGTCCAAGTCTATTTCTAGAATGTCAGTGAATCGATTTCTATTGAAATTGAAGTCGTCCTTGAACGTAAAACGGACACTCCACTCGGAATGTTGTTATGGTGTCGAATTTTGCTATTAAATACCTCGTAAACCAGCGGTGCCTTCTCTTTTCTCTAACTAATGTCCTCATTAGTTGAATCAACGTTGAAAATCCTGACTTGCTTAAACGTAACGCAACAACAAGCAAGATGAGAACCATTGCACGAAAGATCGCTTAAATATCGGCAATACGTTTGGGATGTTTCTTTTGTGCGTCCCCAGCGGTGTCTTATTTTCCAGCGACGTCGCTCCGGGAAACTAAAATTGCAAAACGGTGTTCTACGTCGCGCGTAATACAAGTGGGACTGCGATCGTGTGCCCGTTTGTTTGTGCAACCCTTTTCCTCCCACCCCCTCTTCGTACCATCCCACCATCCTACAGTTGGGAGTTGACAAGAATGAATCCAAAGAGTTACAAAGAGGTAAGGCGAACGCTTCGCGGTTCCTTCTACGGACTGCAATTCCCTATGCTTGGCTTGGTAGTTGTGTGTTAGGAAGGAGTCCAAATTTAACGACAGCTAATAGTTGGCATTTTCAGTAGCTCAGCCTCTTCAGGGACAAATCGCTCCGTTCGAGGCAAACAAATTTCAAACTGGTATTCGAGCGAACAGCAAACTAACTTCTATTTATTCCGGTTAGCACGGAACACCCACTGCTATATTTTATTATAAATATCAATAATTCCCTATTCTAACGTTTAATTTTGAGAGACTCGGTACCTCTACAGATTCAACTACTAAGCGAGAGATAATTTCTATTTTCAAATTATTAAATAATAAAATAAAATTAAAATAATTAAGAACTGAACGTGCAACAGTGTCCCTGAAGAGGTAAATCGTGCGTGTCGCGAAGTAGGGGTCAAATTCCGACCGATAGGCGCTGCATTCCTCCCAGGTCCGTTCTTATCAGCTCCCAAGCTCTACCTTTCCGCTCTGCTCGTCCGATTCTTTGCTCGCCCTGGTCTTCCCCGAGTAAGTATACGTCCCGATCAGATCCACGCACCGGGTAACCAGTTGTGATCCATCGTGTCGATCGTTCGTCTCTGAAGGTGCAAGCGCTAGAAACATCCTGAATGGCGAGAGAAAGGGAACGTGACGCGAAAGAGGAAACGAAGCATCGGACTGGTCGAAATTCCGTGGCGTCGTTTAAGTAATCGCGCGAACAATTTTGCTCGTGTAGAATCACGGGCGGCAATTCTGCTTGGAAAAAAAAAAACGCACGCGTATGTATCCGACGCTTAGCACTTTGCGAAAAAGACTCTCCTGGCATCGTACGTTTCTCAGCCGAGTACTGGATCTTTAAACAATTTTAACCCTTTCGACGCTGCGAATGTTTGCGAACGTTCCGGAGCAACGTTGAATACAATTATTATACAAATTCGTTGAGAATCGATTGATTGGTAGGAAAATAAAAAGATAATTGCGTTTGGAAATGAGATTCGAGCAGATTCCAGTTGCTCTGTTTCTCTTTGGAGAGATATTAACTGAACTTTGTTTTCATTTAATTACCAACCGAATGCGTTTGTTTCGGCTTGTATACGTAAAAGTAACGAATAACCGAACCAAACGTGACCACTAAAACTAATTAATCAAGCGTACGCGAGGTTATCTCTGCGGAGTTTAGACGTTTCGTTTACAGTGTTCGAACCTCAGCGCCGAAAGGGTCGAAGTCGAAAAGCGTGGACGCGGTAACGAACGAGCGACGACGAGCGGAAACGGAGACGGAAACGGAAACGAAAGAACGATCAGGATGAGAAAGAGGAAGAAAAAAAGAGGGGACGAGTGAGATTTCGATCGGTTCGACGATCGATTCGATAGGAGAGAACAAGATCGGGAAAATTGTGTGAGAATGGGGGGGAAAAAAAAGAAAGAGAAAGAAGAATGTCAAAGGGAACGGACGCGAAAAATGGCGCGTGAATGTGGAGGTGGAAACGAGGCGTAAAAGAAACGTAGAACGCGTAAAAGCGCTCCGCGATGTCCGGTGCTCGGAGGTCTTTTGGTAACTCGCAAAAATACGCCGCGGGCGACGTCGGGGAACAAAGGTAACGTGGTGTTTGCTTTTCCGATGCCAAAAAGGTGGCAACGCGGCTGGGAACAAGAGATCGACGCAAGCGGCGACGATCGTGGTTCAACAACCGTCGCTCTCGTTGGACGGATCGGCCGGGGCGGCCACGATACTCTTGCACCCCGAGGCGGACGTCAGACGACGGGAGGAGAACATGAGACAATTGCTGGACGTCGCGAACACGCTCACCCTGCAGGAGATACACGACTTCGAGATGAGGTTCGTTCACTAATTCTCGGAATTTCTATATTTTCGTCTTTGGAGCAAAAGCGAACTCGCTTTATAGAATCTCCAAAAATATTAGTTTGGTCAGAAAATTTGTCACGTTGCAGTCTAAATATAACGTTGTTTGCTTATGAAATCATCGATAATGTAAATTGTCCCGAAATTTTACAATTAGTTTTTAATGCTCGAAATTACTCGAAATATGGAGTTATTCCATATTCAAACATTTAAACGATGTTATACATAGAATAATTGTATTAATCGTATCCTTGTCCAATCAGTTTAGCCAGTGTCTGGACTTCTTTAGCGGTTCTGTGTATTGCATCTTATAACATACGCAATTAACGAAACTTTTACACATATTATGCAACTGTATTATATCAAAGGGTACACAAACCCATAAATAAATAAATAATTAATTAAATGAATAGCAACCAACTTCAGTCTAATTCTCGAGTGCGATATCAATTGGTAGCAGACACTAGACATTGTTTCGTGCAGTTTCTAAACGGATGAAAGAAAAGACGTTTTCATTTCTGGCCAACCTAATACTAACACAAAACAAAAGGACAAAAGAATTTTTGTCAATTTTGCAAAATCACGGTGCATCGTACGATTCCCCTAAATAGTTATATTCCCCTAAATAGCTCTCGACCAATCATCAAAATTTTCGAGGTACCTTCTCTTATTCAACGGTACAGTACTGCAACTTGTTGCCCACCGCAGATATCGTCTTAGCACGTAATGAAAGGTTGAATAAAATATGGCTCGCACGGAACGAAAGTACGATAAAGGGGGCCATATTCCGTGGCGAATTGAACGTGTTAAACATCATGTAATACTCAATAGCTGAGTTACGAGTCTAGACCAACGTACTGCGAACGAGGACTCACGAGTCCTCTGGGACTCATTCGAAATGGCGCCCACGACAGGCCAGAGCCTCTGCTCTTACGGACGGATTCTCGTGTAACAGGTTCAGAAAACTAAAGACTTAAAGTTATACACTTGTAAATTTTACATTTTTACTTTAAAATCAGGTTCGATGGGCTTTTCGACTTTAAGAAAATTTGATTGTTTTTTGCAAATGGGGGCTAAAAGATTATGATGATGCGAAATTTTAGGATAATGTATATAACAGAAGTGGTTATGTAAAATCGTAAAATACTAAATTTCAAGCATTAATATGTCAACTTTTAACATTTTTATTATGTTTCCAGCAATTTGATTGTCTTGTCTCTTGCTTTCCTGTCATACGTTTTATTTGACGTCTTTAAGAGTCCTGTATGTTATAGTATAGGTTAACAAAAATTGTAACAGGGTGCTCGACTACCTTTCAGAAAAAATTTAATGGAAGATTTTAGAGGACTAAGATAGTTTGGTTTAGTTAATTACGATAGTTTGAACAATAAAATTCCCAAACATCAGTTACTCTTAGAGCCATTGCACGAGAATCTCGCCTCTCGAAGGATCTTACGAAAGTCGAGCTGCACAAGCTCCCTATTTTCTTAACTGTACCAACTGAGGATGGGCCAGGCTTGGAAACAGACGATGCAAATCTACTTTTCCTTTGCCATAGATACGGTAGTCCGCATCACAGCAGATCGCAATCGGTTAAGACGCCCGGCAGTCGTTCGTCGGGCCGACCAAATTACCTGTGTCTTCCGCAACAGAGATCGAGAGTGGCCAGCATGCCGAACACCGGCGTCGAGGAGGAGTACTACAGGCTCCGGCACTTCAGTATAACCATAAAAGGTGTGGTGAACAGAGGTGACTCCCTGAAGAGTCGGAGATCTAGGTCCAACAACAGCGTGGCGTCGAGCAACTCGAGGTGAGACTTTTCTACCCACGATGCGCATCTTAAAAATTTTTGACAGGGGCGAAACGATCCGCGGGAGTGCCGGAGAAGCAACAAGGTCGGGGGAATTAAGTATCCGGTCGATTCTACTCTAAATCGAACGCGTGAGTTTACGTGTGGCATAAGCGTTTAAGCGACGTAGACACACACGTTGGATCTTAGAGGAGGATCCATGGCGCGACGTCGAGACTCAGCCACGAGAGGCGTCGAACCGTTTTAAGCGATCGAAAAAGAGACGGAATAGGCAACAAGGTGGAAACGTAACGGCGATACGGGACAGAAAACGACACGCGATTACGTATCGAGTGGCGTTCCGATTTACGAGCTCGTGAATTTCTTTGCACGACGGCGGCATGTACGCTACATACTTCTTTCTTTCTATTTTCTTTCGTCCTTTTGTCGCTCTCTTTCGGCGTGGCTACCAACGGCGGTGCAGCACGGAACACCTGACGGCTTCGTACTCTGGATCGGCGAGGAACTCAGCGGCTGGATCGTTGGCGAGCTCTCGGGAGAGCAGCGCGTCTCAGGGACCAACGCCGTATCGCGTTCTCATGCTGGGAGCACCGGCCGTGGGGAAAAGTTCGCTGGTCTCGCAATTTATGACCTCCGAATACCTCCACGCTTACGACACTTCGATCGGTAAGTGTACCGATCTCGTTAACGATGGCTAAAGGTGGGATCAAGCCCGACGATCGAGACAATCCCAACGCTCGTAGCTTTCCCGCGAATCCAAAATGAATACAGTGTGTGGTCCTTCGCTAATATTTGCTACTTTCTCCCCCGTTCGACCCTCTAATTCTCACGTCCTCGCTAGGGTGATCCTCAGCTACAGGGGTCAACAATTTTTTTTTAATTTCTTTTTGTCGTAACCCCATAGATCGTGACACTTGACGAAGAAATCATTTATGTCAAATTTTACATTTGACTTGAAGTTTTGCAATTATAACGTTTTCACATTAGAGTCGAACGAACTTGTATCGTCTTATTCGAAATTTATTAACCGATATTTTTAAATAATAACAGTTCAATTTATTATTAAACATCGCATATAACATAGGAAGTGAGTCATAATTCGTGGCTTTTCCTTATGAATGGAAACTAACAATCGAATATAGGTGTGCTACGTTTTGCCATACGATTATTTTCAATTCATAGGACAAGGAAAAAATTACGTTTCTTTGCCTTTTTTCAGGACAATTAATAAAAGCCACTTGATTGTTGGGTTAATAGAAGAGATCCCAGAAACCATTTTTTGAGTACACAGTCATAGTCTTCTGTTCTTCTTGTACGCCAAGTTTCACGCAATGCTAATAGATTTTTTTAGCTTTGATCACGATCGAGATACTTGTCTTGAGATCCAATTTTATTTTCCGTAAATAAAATTAGAAATTATTAAAATTTCCCTTTTGAAACGGCCCCTTTGAAAGTTGATGTACAGTACAATTTTCGAACTTTATTCCCCAAGTACTTACAAAGAATTCCAATTTACTTAGAGATACTTATACAGAATTCGAGTCTACTCGTGAAGTATTTGATCCCATCACCGGTGGGACTAAGATCGTACGGATGTCAAATAACAAAGTATCATTTCACGATATACCAATTTCGAAACCGTGGATCTCCGACGACGAGTGCTAAAGGTTACCATGAATTACTCCATAATTGCGCGTCTGTGACAAGGTATATCGGCTAAGATGATACTTTCAGTGGATCTCGCTTAACCGTAAGCATTATTAACACGTTCGCTGCGGCGACTTTCCTCGGAGGCTTCTCTGTTTGACAACACGGATAAATTATACTCCGACGTGGGACTTTCATATCCGGTGACACGGAAAATATTAGACATTTCTCTAAAAATAGTAGGGAAAATTGCGACGATATCTTCTCGGTCCGCAACGAAAATTCAATCAACTATGGATTGAAATGCGTCACGTGACGTACGATCCGCAGTGAACGAGTTAAAAGTTCGCGAAAAGTTCGCTGGATTCGAAAATCTGCCCATACGGTCGAAAATATGTAGCCGAGAGCTATGACTGTCGATCGATTGGTGGAATGTGATTGGATGCGCAAAGGTGGTCGACGTCAGGGATGGGTAAAATTTTATTCAAATAATGGAAGATATAGGCACCGGTCGTAACGTTTTATTCGATCATAATTTCATTCTATGATCGAAGTTATTATTTCTATTCAATGGGAGACGTTTGTTTGGATTGAAATTTTGTTTGTCGATATTTAATTCGTAATAACCATCGAATTGTTTGAAAATTCATCGACACGTGACCACGTCAGTCCCATCGCTAATTCCATCGACTCAACCACGTATTTCCTACTCCTCGGATCAGGGATGGGGCAACATTCGATTGATTTTCTAATTGAAATACATCTATACGGCGAATACGCGCATTGAATGCTTAGAACAGGTGACAAATAACCTGACACTGTATGCTCTGCGACGGTCAAATATCGACATTTCGTTCCATTCCGTATCCAATCATGCTGTCAAATATTAAACGCGTCTGTTGCTTGAAATACAACGAAACGTCGAACACATTTTTTTTGTTTTTTTTTTTGCGTGTAATACTGCTCTTTAGAGAGACAGGACGATGCACGGTACTAGAAAACCGACGCCTGACTGCGGGAAACTATAAATCCACCTAACCGTTGACTTCGATCCGTCCATCACTGTGCTTGAATAAATCAAATTATGATTTTTCCGCGATGAAAATGATATTTCAACTTCGAAGGGCTGTTTCGCTTCTTAAAATTAAAATTGGTCGCTTACAAAAATATGTATTGCCCTGAATTACACTTGTGTCGGTATTTATGTTGACTGGTAAGGTTCTATTATAAATCATCAAAATTAAGTTAATGAATTGGTCGTTCGAATATTTATGGAAGTTTTATCGTGCCCGATCCCTGCTTCGAGCCACCTTTTTTTGGATTCCGCGCGACGAAAACGCGTTGCTCGCGTTCTTCTGTTGCAGACGACGATTCCGGGGAGAAAACTGTCAGCGTGCTATTGGCCGGCGAGGAATCCGAACTAACATTCATCGATCACTCCTGCGCAGAAATGACGGTAAGTGGCGAATCGCGCGCGATCGAGGAAAACGATCGACGGATCCTCGGAGACGCGTCGGTTTCTCCTACGACTTCGCCATCGTGGGCGTTTCCCTTCATCGGGATTCTATCAGGTTCGACGGTTCCGTGGTTCGACAAAAATTGTCTTCTTCAATGTACGACGCGATCAATATATGAACCGTTCATTACGATAGCGATGGTAAGGCCACTTTGTTTCGAGATATAAAAGGTTCTGCGATTCGGTCGATTAGCGCTAATTGGCCCGTATTCTCTCGACGATAAGTAAATTTATTAGCCTTTTAATCGATATGCAGGGTGTTCGGCCACCCCTGTGAGAAATTTTAATGGGACATTCCAGAGGCCAAAATAAGACGAAAATGAAGAATATTAATTTGTTGATGGAGGCTTCGTAAAAGGTTCTGAATTTTTTTCTAGAAAGTGGGTAGGAATTCGAGGGTATGTATAATGACAAAAAATGGTTGTTATTAACTCCCCAATCGAAAATAATTTTTTCAAAACGATTTCGAAACTTTTTTTTCATCGAAAAATTTGGACACCTTCTCGAATTTTTTTCTACAAAACGGGTACGATTTCAGGGGTATGTCTATTCACCAAAAATGCTCGTTACTGACCGCTGTAACTAACTATAATTTTTTTAGTATGATTTGAAATTTTCTAATTTCGTCTAAAAGCTTCAGTACCTACTCGAATTTTTTTCTCGAAAATGCGCAGAATTTCGGGGGTACATGTCTTCACCAAAAATGATTGTAATTGACCCCTTCAACCGAAAATAATTTTTTCACGACGATTTGAATTTTTTTTTTGAAATTTAAGGGGAATAGGTAAGCGTATTGTCAGACAGTACATTTTCAGTAATGAATTTTTTTCTCGAAAGTGCGTAGGATTTCGGGGGTATGTGTAATGACCAAAAATGATTGTAATATACCCCTACAACCGAACATAATTTTTCCAGAACGATTTGAAATTTTTCAATTTAATTTTTTAATAACTTTTTAATGAAGCCCCAGTCAAGAAATTGATATTCTTGATTTTCGTCTTATTTTGGACTCTAGAATCAGGGGTGGTCGAACACCCTATGTGTAGATGTTACCATTAAAGCATAATTTCTGTAATTAACAAATGGACTGGCGCCATTTTCGTAATTTATCGAATCTCCAAAGCGTGGACCAACGTTTCGTTCGAGATAAGTAAACAGTACTTAGATATGTTTTTTTGGTAATGGAAAGCCGCGAACTCTGGTCAGAGTACTTTTTCCCCTTTTTCTTTTTTCTCCGAGGTAGGCAAGGACATCGAGAACATCAGAAAGTAGCAACGACTCTGTCCTTACTCTCCCATTAATTTTTTGTCCCTCCTTTATCGTTAAAACGCTCTCCTGTACAGGTCGTCCCACTTAACTCGACGACCTTAAACATTTCTGTTGCTGTTCGCGATACGAAGAAACGTCGAGGAAGAGAATTCTTTTCTTACGCGGGATCCGTATGTTTTTGTCACGTTGTGACAGCTGATGTCAAGAAAAGTGCAATCGCGTATGACAAGACCTTCGCGTAACCTTGGCTAGGAAAAATCCATTATTCGAGCCCCTTAAATATCCCCGTTGCTTTTCGATGATACGTAGAACCGTCAGGGGGATGGAAATGTTTGATTCGAGGGGACGGAATGAATTTAAGCCGACGTGATCGTAAGAAAACCTCGTTGGCGCTAAAACTTCTTTATGAAAGTGTTCTTTTTAAAAGAGTTTCCCCATTTCTTTAAAATATGGACTTCCATAACGAACGGCTCGACTATATTATACGTGGCGCGAAATTTAAATCAATTTTTCCACTCGAGATAGATAAAATATAGTTTTACGTATAGTTCAATTAACATTCACTTATGATACTAGAACAATTTGTTCTCAAGTCGAGACGTCGACAAAAATAAATTTGGATAGAATTTTTAAAATATAAGTACCGAAACAAATTTTAGGTTATGTAGCTTACGATGGTCTAAAATCAAAAGTTTCGATCTGGCAGTGAAAGTGTTGATATAAACGACTTGTTTCTATTAATTTTCGAATCGCACCTTGTTCAAAATGTTTTTTTAATAAACTTCGATTACGTTTATAGACCTCTAACTCGGGTAAGATAATATTCTCGGTTCGTATAAAAATAATGTCGTGCATATTCAAATTGATACGGCGCCCTAAACCCACATAGTGGTTATTCGATTGGATACACATGGCTAACGTGTTAAGATCGTAAAAAGGTCATGTTGAACGTGGGTCTGGAAACTCCTTCTTTCCAAAATACAATCGCTTCTTAAAAAAGCTCTCAGCTCTAAAGTATAATAAAAATTCGCGTTTAAATTTCCAAATTTCTCTCGCGTAAAAAGTATCGCCTCCATTTTTATTTAATTCTACGGCTAGGGGGTGCTCCTGGAAAGGTACGAAAAATGTAATCGACTAAATAAATTACGCGTCAAGGGTTTTCTCACGAGGAAAGATTAAACGACAAGAAGAATGTTCATTCGGGATTCTTTTAACTCGAAATGCATGGCGTCCTTGAAAGGGTTAGGTCTGGCTGAACAGAGGCTCCCGGAGTTCGGTCGCCTGTGTCGGTTCCGTTCTGTATACGTTCCTGAAACGTGTTTCCGTGGGCGCGTGTACCAATTTCGCTCGGAACTGGGAATAATTGGAATAACTAGCGATAACGTAAAACGTAGAAAAGGGGAGCAACGCGGTCGAGCGAGCAACATTAATCGGTTAGCGGCAAGCGCGTTAGCTGGGCTCGGCGATTGACAAGCATCGAGCCATAACGACCGGTCAACCATAAAAGCGGCCCGATGATCGATCAAACCGTGTTGCTCCAGTCGATGAGATTGACTACTTCGCTCGCCTCGAAGCTTTTTCCCTTTAAATCCGACAAACGCAACAGTCAGCGCCCGATAACCGATCCAGGGAGTCCTAGCCATCGGGCATTATTTTCCCCCGATAATGTCGCGTTTCACCCACGAACCCTGAAAATGTCAACGAGAACGACGAACGTACGACGCGTTAAAAAAAAAAATCATCGACGCAGCGAATACCAAATTCTGTTTCGAGCTCGGTAAACCGGCCACTTAAACGCTCGCGATGTTGATGGAAGTTTATGGCGATAATTGCACGTCCCGTACGCCGCTAATTGATGGGTACGGACGCATCAAAGACGACTAGGTCGCCCGAGGTCGGCGTACAGTGACGAACTCCTGCAGGAAGTGCGTGAACTCGACGTTATCGATTCAAGCGTGACAGTGAGCTAGTTTGCGCGAACCGTTCGACGACGCGGATCGGTTGCTTGGCTCGTAATAAAAACGATGGCGTATCGAATTGTGGTACCCATCGAGGCTTATTAACCCCCGACTGACGTCGTGCGTTCGCGAAATTGATCGTTTCGATGTTACAAAATATCGTCGAACGAACAGCAACCACTCTTTCCTATAATTCCTTTTACCTTCGGTAGTCTGTTATACGCTCGAAATAGAATTCTTCGTCCACAATTATTTTTGAAATATGTCCTAATTAGTATATTAAGCGCAATCGTTGCGTATAAAGTACGTTGAATGGTCCAAAATGTCGTCGAACGAATAGCAAACCACTCTTTCCTATAGTTCCTTTTACTTTTCGCAGTCTGTTATACACTCGAAATAGAAGTCTTCGTCTACAATTATTTTTGAAATATGCGAAGTATGTCCTAACTAACTTTTGCTCGCGGCTTCACTCGCACAGGAAACCGTTTAGTTCCTCGAAAATAGATATTGTTTTTCCATAAAACCTTTTAAGCCCCCATTCACCTGTATAGAGTTTTAATTTTATGTCAAATTGCCATCTTACATTTCAAAATTGATATCATTTTCGTAATTAACGTCCCAAAAGACCTTCATAACGACACCCATACCGATATTTAGGCGTATTTACACTATTGCAACGGTTTAGTGATAAGATAATAATTACATATTTACATGTTAAATTTGAAGTTTCTAGATCCATTTACGGAAATAGGGCAACTTTAATGCGAAATAATTGTATCAATGAGCATTCGGACCAAGTTTGAAGCAAATTCGACCACAAATAAAGTATTCCTCATACGAATGTTACAACCCCTTTTCACCCCTTCAGAGGTTGAATTTAAAAAAAAACCCGAAATAAGTATTTGAATAATTATATTAAGGAGTGTTGAGACCAAGTTTGAAGCAAATCCGACCACAAATAAAGTATTCCTCATACATACGTTACAACCCCTTTTCACCCCTTCACAGGTTGAATTTTTTAAAATGCCGAAATAGGTGTTTGATTAATTATATCAAAGAGTATTAAGACCAAGTATGAAGCAAATTCGACAACGAACAAAATATGTCCCATGCAAACGTTGCAACCCCCTTTCACCCCTCTAGGAGTAGAATTTCTTAAAATGCCGAAACAGGTGTTTGATTAATTATGTCAAAGAGCATTAAGACCAAGAATGAAGCAAATCCAACCACAAATAAAATATTCCTCATACAAACGTTGCAACCCCCTTTCACCCCTCTAGGAGTAGAATTTCTTAAAATGCCGAAACAGGTGTTTGATTAATTATGTCAAAGAGCATTAAGACCAAGAATGAAGCAAATCCAACCACAAATAAAATATTCCTCATACAAACGTTGCAACCCCTTTCCACCCCCTTATCATAGAGGAAACTTCAGCTTTTTATGTCTAAGGGCTTAGCCTGGGCGTTGATGAGTCAGTGAGTCAGGCCTTTCATTTTATAGATAGATTAGTATGTTAAGCACAATCGTTGCGTAAAATATCGTCGAGCGAATAGCAAACCGAAATAGAAGTCTTCGTCCACAATTAATTTTGAAATACGCAAAACATGTCCCAATTAGTATATCAAGCACAGTCGTTGCTCAAAAGTACATTGAAAATGGAGCGTTGCGCTCGGGGTTTCAGCAAGATTGTCGTTGGGCGGTTTCGTCGACCAGCGACCAGGCGTAAGCTATTGCAATTGGAATTCGTTTCTTTTTACAGCCCGAAACTTGCATAGCGACGTACGAACCGCACGCGTACTGTGTCGTCTACTCTACGACCGATCGAACCTCGGTATGTGTAGCCGAAGAGGTTCTGCAAACTCTTTGGTGCAGCGATCACGTATCGGCTCGAGCGGTAATCCTTGTTGGAAACAAAGTCGACCTCGTTCGCAGTCGATTGGTTTCGACCGCAGGTAAGAGGCCGAGTCCCCTGCCCTCGCTGATAAATCCGTGCAGCAGCCTTGAAGCTGATATACGCGAAATACGCGGAATCATCGCGTGCGTTCGTTTCGTGCCAGCATTATCACGCCCTTTCGTTGCTTCGCGCTTTAACGTTACCTCGACTTTACCTCCAATGTTCGCGTGTATCAACCGGCAAGGGAATTTTGTTGCGAAATCGTCGTAGATTCAAAACAAACGAACATTTAACACACTCTCAGGGAATAACAATTAACCCCCTAACGTACGATTCAACTCCAAATAATTATTCAAACCTCTACTATTTAATTTTGTTTAAAAAGAACAGATTTGACTCAATGACGAATGAGTAGCCATTGTACAGTAGGGGGTTAATATTAGCAAGCGTCGTTTCAAGCATTTCGAAACCATTTCGATCAGAAACACTAATATTTTTACGATCCTCTTGGACAGCGTATAAACTCCGAAAGTAATCGTTTTGCGTTAACAAAAAAATGAGTTAAATAACGAAACGACGTTCGCGAGTAGTGATTTCGCGGTAAGCCAGAAATCCGAAATAAACGACACGTTTGTTTTGCAGAGGGGAAATGTATGGCCACATCCTACGATTGCAAGTTCATCGAGACGTCCGTGGGGATTAATCACAACGTCGACGAGCTTCTGGTAGGCTTGCTGACGCAAATTCGCCTGAAGCTCGAGAATCCCGAAAGAACGAGGGACCTCTTCCGGAAGAGATCGCGAAAGAACCGCAGCAAATCGCCGTTAGGGTCTTGCTCCGAGAACAATTCGCCGAAAAAGTATCGGGGTAGTCGTACGAGTACAAGTCTGAAGGTACGAAATTTATTGGGTAAGGTGTGGGCGAGAGACAGCAAGTCCAAGAGTTGTGAGAATTTACACGTTCTTTAAAAATCGTCCGTCTTCGTATCGTTCTCTATCTTTGACCTTGCCTTCTCGCTACGGAAACCATCTTTTTCTATCCTCTCGACCCTTTTGTCGTTTTCTCGTCTGTCATCGCTTCGATCGCGTGTCCTTTCCGTTCGCACTTTACGCCACTTTGCCACGACGAGTTTGTTCGTTCGGTCGCGTGAACCGACAACTCTGGATTTCGCATCACGGAAACATTAAGGCGCAAACACGATATTGTCACGTTATGCGAACGCACGGAACCTTCAATCCCTGAAATATACTTCTACGAAAGATTTACGGACGAAAGATCGTTTCTCTGACGTTTCTCTCTCTCTCGATCGTAAATTAAGTTCTTATTGATTTGATAATTATAGTTACTACAATCAAGAAGTAATAAAAACTCCACAATGATTGTGAAAACGAAACTTTCAATCGTTGTTAGAGTTTTGCTTTCACAATTATCGAGGAATTATTATTATTTTTGAACCGTACCAAATTGAAATTTTTACATTTGTTTGTTTCACTCAATCGTAAATTAAGTTGTTATTAATTTGATAATTATATTTACCACTTCAAGAAATAATAAAAACTCCACAATGGTTGTGGAAACGAAACTTTCAATCGTTTTGCTTTCACAATTATTAAGGAATTGTTATTATTCTTGAACCGTACCAAATTGAAATTTGCATATTTGTCGAGTAACAGAAAATCATAAAAATCCAAGTAACGAATTCGTATAATTTTCTCGATAATTTATAAATAAATGGTATACGTGAAAGTGATACGAAGTAAATCTACTCCTACGATCGTTAAATCCCGATGATACACGGATACGAGGAGATGTTTGATCCACATCTCCTAAATTAAATATTTTCTTTCGTCCCTGTTCCAAGGGTCGCGTCCCCTACTTTGAAAAACATTGACTTACGCGACACGCGTTACATAACGCCATGCGACACGTGTGATGCCGCGTTATCCATCATTTTTAAATCTTCGCCCGAATCTTGTCACACTGTTTGCAGAATATTCGGACCTCTGGCTTTTAAATGGAAACTAAGGGTGTTCGAACAATGGACGATCGATAAAATCGATACAGAGCAATTTATTCTTGACGTACGTTCGACAGAGCGGTTAAATTTTTATTTTCATTCGATGACTAACGATCGAACCAGTCATTCGTCCAAACTTTGCCCATCTCTGTACGCGGTAAACAACTGAATGCAATTGTAAACTCGTGGTTTACGCATGTGACGTGCCAATAATGTATTTTCGCCATTATCTTTTCCTGCACCGAGCCACTGATCTCTCCACCCTTGTCGATACTTTTCTCTCGCGATCATTCCCGTTACCGTACCACCGTTTCTTCATTCCGACGATAAATAAGGAACGCGATTAGTCCGTTCGTAAGTCCGAGCAAGCGTGTCTCTAGTTTCAAAGCTTCCAGTAACATTTCGGTACTCTTGGTACAAAAGAATATAACAAAAGACAGCGTGAAAGATATCTTTCGTTTACATCTGTGGGAAGAAAAGTATCCCACAGTAGCTTTATTTATGAAAACGATAATAGACCACCAAGTGATCGATAACATCGAGAAAATCAAAAGTTAACCCGTCGTGTGCCCCGGTGAATTTTTCATACTTTTTGATCCATGCTGAACATCCCTCTCGTAAAATTACTAAATCGATATTAGAAACGTTCAATATTTCAACGGTGTATACATCTGACAGTGCAATAAAACCATTCGTAAATGTTGCACAACATCGTTGAACGCCTGGTTCGCTCTATTATCCTTTGCATAATCGAGAAAAAATTATATAATACTCTCCCTCCGCATAGGTACGAACAAAATGTATTTTCAATTATCAGATTAAATAACGCGTTTGTTCGGACTAACGAAGTGTCGAATTCCATCAGCGAACGAGCAATTATCGAAATCATTTTTAAACAAGAAACGCGCTCGCTACTCCGTTATTGTTTCGAAACGACGACGACCAACGCGGCTTAAAGTACCGGAAGAACGGAAGGAAAACAATTTAGCGGAAACAGACGTTGTAAAATTCGCCCGGGTACATTTCCGGCGCTTTGGATCGCTGGATCACGCGACTCCCGTTGGAACGTGAACCGCCCCGCACGATGAAATCTCATTTCTGCTTTTTCTTCATCGATCGGAAGCGCGGCTGATACAGCCAGCTAAATATGTAGCACGAACACACGCGCGTGGATCGACACGATCGATACGAACTTAAATACCCGGAACGAGCACAAGTATATGCATACGCACACGTTTGCGAACACGTAGATCGATTATGCACGTATAACATGTATAATACTAACAATTTACATACACACTCGACGCGCGTAAACGCGACTCCGGCTCGCACTTATGCATGCATGCACACTGTACACGCGCACGCACGTACTTACGCACGCAACGATTAAATTTTCCCGATAGAACGTTCGCGATCCCAAGATTCTCGTCGTTGTACGCGTCTAAACGCGTACGTATCGTAACCGTTGGACCCGTTTTTCTATCCAATGTAAGGGAATTTATGCGAAGAATGTAGTAAAACGAACGCGAATCGCGGCATAGTACGTTCCGCGAGACGATAATCTGGACTCGGGAACAAAATGGCTGCGGACCAGGGTTTATCGTTCCGTACAATTCGATAAAAAACAACGATTCTCTTTAAAATTTTCTCACGATGTTGAAATGGTTTTGAGAGGGTTTTTTTGTAGGCGAACGTGTAGAGAACATATTGAGATTATAATGTTTTTTTTTTATCGTTTCAATTGATGCACCTTGATATTCTTTATAAAAAAGTATTAAGACATTTGCGTTGAAAAATCATCAATTTAGGAGATATTTTGATTTCGATTACTCCTTCGTTAATGTTGTGATGATTTGAGAAAAGGTTCAACACTAGAACTACCAAACCAGTAAAAATGATCCATTCGTAATTTCTAATGGAACTTGTAAAAAATTTACTCGACTGAATTTTTGAAAATTTATCGTAATTTTCTATAAGAGAATGTATAAACCACTTATTTCAATTTCTTTGGTACAAATAAACACGCTATAATTGTCGATAGTTCTAGTGTTAATGTCACGACCATTTGCATCATATTCATTGAATCGATAAATTGATGATTCAATCACACACATAGTGTTACTCAGTAATACGATCCCTCATATCGACCATTGTATTTTTTAAGTTGAACCATTCTCTGTTTACATTTCATAACGCGGTTGAATACAAGAAAACACATCAGAACGCGTCCCTGAACCATTCAATTTCGTCCGAAACATTTGCAATATTACATAAATTCTAGTATTCGTACTTCTAAGAACATCAATCTGGATCCTCGCGAGTTATTACGAACCCGTTGCCTCTAAATAAAACAATAGCGTTGCGCAAGGTCACCTAATTTATAATTTGCGTCCGGACGAGTTAAATTAGGCTTGGTTCGCGGTAATCGAAGTATAATAGTACGACCTTTTGCAGCGAATCTACGTTACCATTCTTAACACTTTAACGGCCGCCAAAGTGAGATGCACGAAGATGTTAGGAATATTATTACAAGGAATTATAAATGTAACCTCAACAAACGTAATAAGTTGAATGTAGGATGAAATGGTAACTGATACAGTAGATCACTGCTGGCTCTCAAAGTCACATATACGTGACAGCAGCCGTCAAAGTGTTAAGCAGAGCGTCGATCAGAAACGACCAAAACTTTTATTCGCGTAACAAAGAGACAAATGAAAACCGTAAACTGCCGTATACCGACTTACCATTTTTATTTAACAAGACCCGGAGAAACCATTTTATTGTATGTTTCGTCCAGATAAGAATTTTCTCGACGGGCTGACGAAATTTTGGTCACGCGACATCTCCGTTTACATCCGACCACATCTTCTCGTAGAACGTACTATACAGAAAAGCGTACTTGTTGAACGGGGTTGGCTCGTTTAACCGTAGCGTGACACCTTCGACTCGGTAATGTTCAGAGAAAATCAAAGGGAAATCAAAGGGAAGCTTAACGTATTCGGTGCCAACGTTGAAACTAGAAAATCGAGGATCGTAGTTACTCTTCGTCACCCTTTCCTCCGTGCCTAACACTAACCTTTTTCCCCTCCCCCCCACACCTTGTTCTCCTTCTGTTCTACGAGCAAACGAGTCACTCGGTGTCCCTCCTTTTCTCATTGTACGCTCGATGTATTGCTGTCCTATTGTGCAATGTAAACGCAGAAGTAAATTAAATAAGCGATCTATGTTCTTCAGAATTGTATAGACGGTGCGTAGATAAAGGTAGCTGATTCTGGTTACCATCGAATTTTATTGCACGTTAGACAAAGAGTGGATGGTTCTAGTAAATAACATATTAAATTAGCGCGCGAGAACTCGCGCAGGGATACAAGCTCGAGGCTCAGGCGTTCCCCGTTTTGATGCATTTTCATCGAACGGGGCGCTCGGAAGTGGCAACGATCGAGGTTCTACCGCGAGGCGCGAGGAATTCCTGCGCGAGATTTTCAACGCGCGTAAACGGTCCCGCGATCGATGGCGTGTTTCAGAAGTTTCGTTCGTTGATTCTTCCGGCAATTCTGCCTTGTTTTAATAGTTCGTCGCGACGATCTTCTGGAGGGCCACGGTCACGACGACCCTAACGATTAATGCGTAAAAACAAATGTATTCGGACGCTTCGAGTACACGAGCGACCGCTTAACTACGTAGCCGTTAAGGATTGCACCCGTCTACGAAGAATCGCGATTTCTTTTTGAAACTTCGACTAATGGTTCACCGATATTGGCTTCGCCTATGCTTCGAGGCGTGACCGGTCTTCGATCGATCTCAGCTTTTACGATACTGAGATATATATATCTTATCGACAGGGACTTTCAGAGTATTGTATCTGAATTCGCACGAACACGTAACAACAATTCGTCGCGCGAGAAGAGAACACGGATTCACGACGATTCGCATCCGTTCTCTTTCCGTAAGAGCGTGGCTGTGTTCCCGCCTGTGCAACGCCGGCGTTCCAAACGTTTAAAGAAAAAAAAGGAAAAGAAAAGAAAAGGAGAAATACTGTTGCTTCGTTCCTCTGTTTTTGTATTCCAACCGCGTTCAAACCGATGACTTTTTCGAATTTCCAGAGCAAATTTTTAATCGAGGCGGTGCCTTAACCTCGACATTTTCGAAGAGGAATCAAAAATGATGAAAAACGTTGCGTTGATGTTATAAAAATTCTCAGTTACGAATTTGTTCTGAAAAGGGCAAAAAATTACTGTTTTATATTCGAAACGGTTAAACGCGACTCCCATTGGTGCTCGAGGGACGCGCTAAATAACGCTCACGTTCAATAGAAAATATTATAAATTAATCGTAACTATTGCTTGTTGTTATGAAGCATCGATCGTCATAGAAATTAGCTCGACAAGCTTGGTTAAAATTATTTTATTTCAACGTTTCGACCATCGGTTGATTTTAAATTTCATCGATGATATTCACGTTCATCGCCATGCCGCAGTGAATTTGAAAATAATATAAGAATAAGTAAACTAATAAACAGTTCCACGGAACTTCCAGTTTGTACACATATTAAATTTCCCAAGAGGAATACGTTTCCACGAACTGAAACGAAGATAATTAATTAAATCGACCGCCATATACGAACTGGAAATTGTTAGCATTCGTGACAAATAACAATTGTTCTAGGTAATTAAATTCTCTTCATCTGTATAGAAATTTCTCTCTCTTTAATTTACTTCAATCGTTTCATAATTTATATCGTTGATACGATTTTAATTTTTTGTTGTTCTACATATAAAGTAAAAAGAACTAAAGTATTAATTACTAATTATAATAGCTCCTAACATTATTCAAATTTACGTTTTGTAGATTTGTGACTACGTTCAAGTTTATGTAGTTTTATTAACTGATTATTTTTATTTTTATATGGGACAACAACGATAATACATGATATTCGACCACCCTTGGGAAAAATTTTAATGGGGGATTCTAGAGGTCAAAATAAGACGAAAATCAAGAATAACAATTTGTTGATGGAAGCTTCGTTAAAAAGTTATTAACAATTAAATTAAAAAATTTCGAATCGTTCTGGAAAAATTATTTTCGGTTGTGGGGGTCAATTACAATCATTTTTGGTCAATACACATACCTCCGAAATCCTATCCACTTTCGAGAAAAAAAATCGAGAAGGTGTGAAATTTTTCGACGGAAAAAAAAATTTTCAAATCGTTTTGAAAAAATTATTTTCGGTTGCGGGAGTCAATTACAATCATTTTTGGTGAATAGGCATACCCCCGAAATCTTGCGCATTTTCGAGAAAAAAATTCGAGAAGGTGTGAAATTTTTCGACGGAAAAAAAAATTTTCAAATCGTTTTGAAAAAATTATTTTCGGTTGTGGGGGTCAATTACAATCATTTTTGGTGAATAGGCATACCCCCGAAATCTTGCGCATTTTCGAGAAAAAAAATTCAGTACGGGCGGAACTTTAAACGTTAATAACTTTTTAACGTAGCCTCCATCAACAAATTGTTATTCTTGATTTTCGTCTTATTTTGGCCTCTAGAATCCTCCATTAAAATTTTTCCCAGGGTTGACCGAACACCCCGTATACGAGATCCAATTGGTGGTCGAAACGTTTAAACAAAATAACATAAAGTAGGCTTGTTTAGCTATTGTTATGGCGACAGGAAACAGTATAATATAGAGTTTACATCGTGCGTTGATACTGGTGATAATAACGGGTCAAAAGTTGATAAGAAACGTCTGAAAAAGGCGTGTTGAACGTTCGTGTATGTTGAAAAATAGTTGAATTAACGTTAGATTTGTTCGCTCGTGTTTCATTAGAGTCATGTAGATATCTTTACGGATTACCGAATTGAGCAAAATAGAAATCATGAAATTCTGTCGCGCAAAAGAGGGCGAAATCGGGGAGTAAAGCAGACACGCATTTTTTAAAAACTTTGTATCGATAAGCAAACGTTATTAATAATTCACGAGAAAAAGCATCGTCACAATTGCTTTTTTTCCGTCGGCTCGATGGAGTTTCGTAAGACCGCATAAACACGCGACGTATTTTTCCATATTCATTTCCATACCCTCGAGAAAATGTTAAGCATTACAGCATGTTGTGTACTTGAAATACTTATACACTTCGTTTGTATCTTATTCGTACTTTTTATAAACTTGATACGCTTGGTGAAAACACAGTCGAATTAAATGTTTAGCGCCGTTTTAGTCCGCGTACGAAAATTGAGTACGATAACAACGAATATTATTCGACGCGACTTTCGTGACATTTTTTGCACAGATAGGAACATCGAACAATTTCAAATACGAGTCCATTTCGTAAAACTATCGACGAGAGAAAACTACCACCGATTGAAACTTGGAATATATTAAAAATAACGATACGATTTTTTATGTCAAATTACAGTCGAATAAAATTGTAAACAAAGGTTTGAGTGTAAATGTGAGACGTATGCTGCTGTTAAAGCCCCGATTATGGCACGTATGTGTTTAATATCTGTGCAAAATTCTGTCGAAATCGGCGTGTCGTCGACGCAAGTCGTTTTAGTGTCTTGAATTTGCCATGAGCGTCGCTCGAGCACGAACGTCCCCCGAGCACGAGCGGAAGTCACGCGTCAAAATGGACGACGATCGCCTATGAATAGTATCGAACACGATTTTGCGATGCACACGCGCGAAAACGGTCCAAGAAGCGAAAGAAGTGAAGAAAAAAAATACAGAACAAAAGCTCTCTCTCTCTCCCGCTCTTTGATTTAATGCGCACGAGCGGTTACGCGTACGGCGCACGCACGCACTCACGCATCTTCCGTCTCTTTTTCTCCCGTTTTACCGTCCTCTGCTCTTCTCTCGATCGCATCAATGGCGAGAGCAGCGACGTTAAACGCCCAACGACACGCTCGCGTTTTTCTTTTTAAAAGAAAATCGAGAACGAGAGAGCCATCTAATAGAAAGGACCAAATCGATAAAGATTAAGAAATACGCGAAGAGAAGAAAACGGTGGAGGGGGGAGGTGGGGAACGACGCAGAAACAATCCCCGTGCCAACGAAGGGAAACGATGTTCGGTGACGATTATCCGTCCATCTGCGTAAAACTTTCAAGAATCCTTCGTGAACGACGGTCGGGTTTGATTGAAAACGCGTGGAAAATTAAAAAAAAACACAAAAAAACAAAAGAGCTTCTCGCGAAGGAGCCGAACACCGTTGCCTGGACCGGTCGGGTCGCGCATCGATCGCGATATTTAAGGATCTCGACGACGATGCGCGGAGAACAAATGGGATATCTTTCGACGGATGTCTCCTTACAATTAGATACATACACACGCGACCAGATACACCGACGGATAACCCACATTGCGGACCATAGCCTATCGATTAGGCGATTTCTTCGATCGACGTTATTACATACATATATCCCTGTACGTACCTGTGCGCGTTGTTATATAACCCGTGTAATACCGCGCCGATTTTATTGTCTCTTCTTGTTAGCGTATCGAACATCGTTATTTGCGTGCCGATTGTTGCTACCAGGAAAATTATTTTTCGATTTGTCATCGTTGGGACGCGTGGCGATAACGTCGGGTGAAGATTTTTAGTTACGCGACCGACGGATATATGTACTTTGGCTACGTAATCGACGCGCCATCACGACTCCTTTTACCCAATTTGCCTCGATTTGCAAACAGGCAGGCTTATTGGTTTAATTTTTAAAACCGTCTTATTAGTTTAATATTAGAAAAAGAATATCTTTTGATTTTTATTCCTTCGTAAAATGTTTGTAGAAATGTCCTATCCCGAATAAGGGAAATAAATAGGTATCGCAATTTTTATTTTTAATACGCGGATACGGTCGGAGAAGTTTAACGGAAGTCGAACGAATTGGGCAAAAACGAAGCGTGATGGCTGATCGATCGTTTACCCGAATACCTGCCCGTTGCGGAACACTAATTGCAAGTGCAACGAAATTTGCAAATACCCTACTTATGCCACGACTAACGTCGCTAGCGATGGCAATGAATACGATACCGACCAACACACACCGTTACAATGATAACCACTACGGACATTCCATTCGTTTCTATTTGTATTTCTATATCTGTACGTATGTCCAATATATCTGGAGAAAATTTGAACGATCGTTTTATCCAGCTTGTATTACGCCCCCGCGTGTATACGTGTAATCGACAGGTCGTAACGCCCGAAATTTATTCCCCTTTTTCCGTTTACCGTACAATCAGGAGGAAAACCAGTTGGACATCATCCAAGAAATCATTAAAATAAAAAGTTCAAGCATCGAACAGAGGTAAATAGCATTGCTTTCTCAAAACTGGATTTTCGAACGATGTTGATGGTATGAAATGATTGTAGCTACCCCATAGATCGCGGACAAAAAGTGCCCGGAAATGTGTCTATACTATACAGACCACACGGAATACATGTATAATCGGTGAAATAAAGACACGCCATTTTTCTCATTTTCCTCGTCTCCTCTATCAGTCATCGGACGCGGAATATTTTTTACGAAAATTGTATTTACCACAGACGCGATGGAATTCTTTGGAAATTGTCGCTTTGGAAAATGATCGCGATGAAATTCACGATATTTGCAACTCGCAAACGCGAATACATAATTCGTATTTCGCGACGCTACTGTAAACCGAGATTAATGTTTAGGCACAACTTGACGGGCAAACAGTTGTAGCGTGTGTATAAATACATGTGAGCTGACTGACTATGTAGGGATCGAAATTCATTTCTGAATCTGTTGGTAACGTTGCAAATGACACGTAAATGGTAATGGGGTTTCGAGACTCCATAAAAAGGGGCGAGAAAATACATTGGATGAAAGATCTACTCGTATACCTTTCACCTAATGTATTTTTTCGACCCGTTTCTCTGGGTTCCCGGGATCCCATTACCATTTTCGTGTCACTCGCAACGTTATCAACAGATTCAGAAATTAACACAAGAGGAAGTGAGACAGAAAATAAAATTACATGAATTTTATTATTTTTTAACGGAATGAAAGCTGTATGGTCCAGAATTGAGCATCGATCGATTAATTTCATTGGAATAACCAATCGATCGAGATTATTTAAAGATTTCAAAATTATTAAAATACGTAAGGATCTCATTGATAAATGCACCGCAAATCCTCTAGTTTTTATTTTAAATTGTAATATATTATTTATTTAAAAACTAACTCGGCAAAAACGTATTTGCGACTCGAAATCAGTGTTATTAGACCGCACACCAGGACGAAGAAGGTATGTGGAACTATAAGAAGAACGCAGCCATTAGCTCATATTATTTGCTATGTGATTAATAATTATATTAATTACATAGTAAATAATATGACCCAGGTCTCACCGCGAGGAGGTTGCTGCGACTGGAGACCCGCCCTAGCCTCGCCCCAACCACCCTTCCTTTGGCGAGGAATTCGAATACCTATCCAAGGGAGAAGCTATTGAAAAGTTAGAAACGAACTACAAAGGTCGAGTTCTTAAACGAACTGCCCAATCAATAGATGAAGAACCTAACAAAATGTCAATATTATGTGAGATGATACACATGTTTTCTAAAAACGAAATTGAAATGTACAACTGCATGCGCGAACTCTGACCGATGAAGAGATCAGAAACCTAACAAAATGTTGATACATGTGAAATAATCCATCACATGTTTTCTAGAAACGAAATTGGAATGTGCAACTGCACGTATGAATCCTGATTACTAAATTATCAATATGTACTTTATTATTAATTGTTCCTTCTTAAATAAATACTTGCATTATGACTGTGCCTAACGAGACACTCGTACAAAACGAAGAAAGGATCCTGAAGACCCAACCAGAAATGTGCAACTGCACGTATGGACCTTGCATATTAGAATACTAATATGTATCTTAATATTAATCATTCCCACTTAAATTTACGCACACGTTTCGGTAATATTTAATAAACGG